CAGGTCGCCTAGGGTCAGGGAACGCTCTCCTAGAAACATGACATCAAGGAAAACATGGTAGCTCTCCGGATTGTTCATGTCCGCCTAGTCTTATTTTGTAAAAACAGGCTAGCCAATTACAAATTACCTTGTAATAGTAAGATTTGTAATTGTAGTTTTAACTGCGATTGTCTGAGTATGTCCAACACCAGTACACTTTTGTCCCCTAACTCAAAAACTGATAGTGATGACAAAACATATCATATGCATTGTTGATAGGGCACTTAGACTTCTCTCTTCTGGTATGAAGCCTTAAAAATAATGTTGCCATAAAACTGGCTAAGCATGTTTAAAGTGTGCAAAATGTATTCCCAACACCATGGAATTGCCCGAAAATGAAAGTTTCCATTATCATTATTATTATTATTATTACTATTTTTATAATTATTATTATTGTAACTCATTCTGCCTTCAGCCTGAATCACTTCTGCGTGTTGTAGCTTAAAGTAACTAATACCTTGAGCAAGGGTATTTTACTTGAAGACACAACTTTTCCCTGCACTTCATTGCATCATCCTTTCATTGTATCTAAGATGTATTCATGTATGCTGACATTTCTGCTTTTTTATCACCGTGTATCATAAACTGGTGATTCCTTTCGGCCCCACAAGCTAATCAAAACTGCTTCTAACTGCCTGTATGTCGTCGAATTAACTGTTGGGTTCGAGACTAACCTAGGCAAAAATGCTTCCCGTTAAGCTGAAAAGTACCATTGCCTTCTGAAGGAACTGCACCCCAAGTTCAACAAATTTAAATTTGTTAATCTATTCCCCAAGTTCAACAAATTTAAATTTGTTAATCTATCCATCATCTGTCTCGGTATCTTTGGTAACTCCTGTGATTTTTTCATCAATATGTGCGATGAACTAAATCTAGACTACCAATACTGTTATTTTGTGATTAGAAAACTGTCAGCAATAATTATACACACATCTTATTATATATTCTGTATGTGCAATAAGGCTTGGACAAACCCTGAATTGCTCTCCTTCTAGAGATTCTATGAACTCCTATGATTTTATTTCTATGTTATAACTTTTGTAAATTAGTAGACATGTCACAAGGCTAGCTGATAGTAACTACCTGTAAAGTGAGGTTACTGTTGTAAGTAGAAGATTATAAAATAAAAAATGATTTCATTATTATTATATAAAGTACTTAGGCCTGTGCTAGGAAAACCATTTCCAGACTTTATCAATAGAGAAAGTATATCTTTAGGAAAGCAAAGAAAATACCCTAATAGATATGTTATTATGACTAGTAATTAGGAGGACTGTATTTTCCTATTATATCATCAGGCTCTTAAAGTATTTGCACAAACATTTTTTATAAAATCATCATTTATATGTTGATAACCCAGGTTAAAAGACTTGTAGCCTAAAGATTATAGTGCAAACTATTTGTTATCAGTGGCTCAAAACCCAAATTAGAATTATATATAGAACAGACTCTTTCAGTTTCATGTAAAGCTGGCACAGCACAAAAACAACAATTCTCTTGCCAAACAATCTTTTTGTTGTACAGAATTTGAAAATGGCTTTGAAAAACAAATTTTGAAACAAACTTAAGTTATACGTCTAGCACTCTTCAGAGCATAAAACGTCAGAACATAGATGGAAAACTCTACGCAAAATACCCAGTTTTGGATCGAAATAGGCCAATCAGAAAATGCGAGCACATTACTGTTGAGGTTGTCCAATCAGTGCCGCTTTCCTATTGAAAATATTACCAACGGAGTCCTAAGGTGAAAACAAACTCCTTTGTCTACACAAAAGCGGTTTATATAGTAGAAAAACCTAGATGGAACGACAATCAGGCTTTGCCAATAATGGGAAACATGTTGCTGTTATAGTTTTCACCCAATCTTCGTTTTTCAGTAAATGCTGCTGGAAAGTGGAATTCCATGTTTTGGTTGTCGTTTTTGATCTGCAAGACAGAGTACCCTGTTCTCTTTGAGGGATAGTTTTGTTTCTATTGCTGGAAGGGACCTGCTGTTTTATTATATCCCCCAATCTACAATTTCTACCAATTTCTTCGACTTTCTTTCAAAAAATATGCCTGTTTTCTTAAGATTGAAAGGTTCTAATCGCTACAAACATACCTTTCGCTTAACCATCCTTTTCCAAATAGATTGAAGTTCATGCCTATCATAACAAAACCGCCCAACAAGCAAAAAGTTAATTGCAAAGAATGCAATGACGGGAGAAATCGCTGTTACAAAAATAAACCAATTAACCCTTGTACGTTTTCAGGGTTCTCTGAATAGGAAAAGGGCAAATGAATGAAAATTTTAGGGAAGCGATTCTCCCTTCATGTTCTGTTTTGGAGAGCAATTCATAGCTTGCCTCAGGTTGCAAGGGGAGCGTGGAGGTGAGCGCGAGCGAGCAAACGGCCAGGCCTAATACAGTATTAATTAAATCTTAGTGTCACATGCCAACCTTAGTGTAACCAGAGATCTTGGTGCACTAACATCAATTTTCAAGGGCAAATTCAGCCATTCCCTCCCCTTTGAATAATAAAGATATTTTATATTGCATTTATATTTAATTTTTCTGTATTTTGTATATTTTGCAGAGCACAGAGGGAAGTATGTCTCAAGGAAGACAGATACATTTCAGCACTCATCTGGATACCACTCTAGTGGGAAAAACAAAAGAGGAGGCGGTCGCTTTCCTAAAGGCCCTAGAAGAGAATCTAAGCAAAGTGGACCAGGCTTTTCAAAGGTAAAAATATATCATGGTTGTGCTCAATGGTTCATACAAGGTTTTTCTAGAAAAGCATATGCATCCCTACTGCTAGCAAATTTCTTCATTGAAATCATTTCCTAAGTGGAACTGAAGCAGAAATGGCATATAATTGATTTATTTTATTCTTTAAGTTTTTTTCATCAATCTACTAAGATTGATTTGGAATTAGAGCAATAGGAATAGTTTTGTTGGGAAAGTGTGGTAATTTTTTCAGCAGGCTCTCTTAAAGAAGTTTAAAATGCACTTTTGAAAGCACATACAGCTCATGTTAGAAGTTATGTTAGCTAGTTTGTTTCTTTTTTCAATTTTCAATCGGATTTTTATTTTTTCTAGCCAAAATGCAAATCTGTGAGTAAAGACTGTGTGCTTTCTTCATTTTTATGACTTCTTTTAAAAATCTTGAATATTCTTTAGAAAAGCAAAGCACATCATATACCCTTGTTAGAAAACTGACCTTGTAAATAGAGTTTTGAAAGGTGGTCAGCAAATCACCCTCTGTGTTTGTGTAAAGCAAAGGATTTGCTTTTAAAGCATGTTTACCAGATAGAAAGAATGTTTAAAACAAAGACAAGATGTGTAAAGAAAGTGTTTTCCGCAACTAATTAATTCAATGAATAACAAATTCCATCTCTAGTGTTCTCCATCATCATAAAAGATTATTATCAGTTGCTTGAATCTAATGATTCCTCGCTAATTTCCATAACTTTAGTGCCCATTTCAACAAAAACTAAATCAATGTTTAAGAATTCTGCAGACGTTGCAAAAGCACCAAGGCTTAGCATGCACTGGTCCATTTCTGTAAAACTGCTGACAATTTTTAGAAATAGTTTACATGAATATACTTGCTTTTTTTCTTGATTACATACTGGTCATAGCTTTTTTCTTTTGTTTGTCTATTATCTAGTTATCCATAGTTTTTTGAATTTCCAACATCAATATTACCTCCAGCAAACAACAGAAAAAGTTGTGAGCAATGAAGACTTACAGCTGCTTGATGAAAGAGTTACACTTGGAGATGATAACGAAACTCTGGAAGATGCCAGGGGAAGAAAGGGAGGTGAACTGCGAAAATTCAAATATGCAGCACCTAACAGGGCATTCAGCCAAGGAGATGGAAAGCACAAGCAGTCATGGTATAGCTCAGTGAAGTACCAGGTTTACAACAAAGAATCATATCTTCAGGCAAAGTAAGTCACTATTTGCTTATTTTGTAGTATCTTTTTTTAAACAAGATATAAACATGAAGCTAGGCAACAAATGCTCTATGGCAGCAGCTTTTTATTTTGAAGGCTAGTTTTTAAAAAATCATATGCTTAAGTTAATAATAATAGATAATTGTAAGATTTATGTATAATCCTGAGAAATAACATGACACAAATAGATCTGAGACTACCCTTTTGTCAAGAAATTTTCTCAAGGGTGACAAACTGCCTATGTAGATGAGCCTATGTGGATGAGCTTATAAGTACATTCACCCATCCTACAATATTTGTTGGAGAGAAGCCCCCAGGGCCTGAGGGGGGTATTACTAATACCCATATTAGGATATCAGCTGCCTATCATTGCTTAAACTAAGGCTTGACCTTTCTTGATTTCTGCCAATTTCCAAACAAAACTAATTTATGTCATGTGAATAATGAAACAATAATGAACTTTTCAGAAATTGTCTTTCTGTATCTTGTGGGGGGAGACATGTAATTCTAAGGGTGGTAAATAGACCGCACCCATAATTTGGCAGGGGCATTTGCAAGGGCCAAAGGGTAAGGTGCTCACTCATATGAAACAAAAAGGCCTAGCTGAAATATTATACATATATTTTGTTTAAGTTTAATATGAAAATAACATAATGTGATTATATGTTATTGCCATATGTACCTGCTTTGGTGGTTGAAGAAGATAACTCCAAATTTACCTTTGATTTTTATGCTGAATTAAGAAAAAAGGTTTATGAAAAACGCTGGATTGAATTAGTTTTAAGACCAAATTTGTTTTAATTTGATGTGTGAATATATTTATTTATTTTTATTTATATATGTGTTTTAATTTTCATGACTTGCAGCTGCCGTTTTGTTGTTCAAGAAAGTGGAGATTACAGATTGCATGCAGTCGATCCAGATTCCCTGGTAGACTGGAGCCTCATTGAGCAGATAGTAAGATTCAACTTTGACTATAATTTGATTGGCACAAACTAAGTTTTGACATAAATCTGTATAATCAACCTATAACATTTTATTTGTATCATCAAGTATCTGATCAATTATCTTGGAAAAACTGTAGGTATTTTCATTTTACCAAATTTATTTCTAGCTGAACACTTCAACAGGGTTTGAGTGTAGAAACTTGTTGAGCACAAGAAGGAAGCATACAATTATTGACTGCTGAGGAAAAGTTCAATTTTGATGATTTATTTGTAGTTCTCTTTACTGACTATTTAGTAAAACATGCTCTTGGTAAATTGAGCACTTAAACCTCCCAGGTGCTCAGCCTAGCTCCTAAGAAAAATGTATGGCTGGTGGGAAAATGTAAGAAAGCTCTAATTCAATAGAACGTAAATATCTGATTAAGTTTGCCTCTATCTGTCAATTTTGATATCACATTTTGTGGAATCATTTTATGTTTTAGTATTTGTTCAGTCATGGAACACCATCATGCCCAATTTGTCTCGAGAATCCAAAGGTAGCAAGGATAACAAGATGCGGCCATGTCTACTGTTGGTCGTGTATCCTTCATTACCTTCAGCTGGTAAAAAGCCCTGTATTTTTTATCTTTTTTGTGTATATTTTGCTAACAATGAGCCTTTGCCAATGTGGCAAATTGTTCAAGTATGGATCAAAACAATGGCAGTAAACTTCTTCGGATCAACCAAAATTGATTTCAGACTGTCTGAAAATGCATTATGGGATGCTTGCATAGCACAATGGCTCATTTTTAGCAATGAGTCTTTAAACAGAAGGCTCCTTAAGCAAAAATGAAGGCACCATATATTTAGCTGGACTTCGTGGAAATTTCGTTTTAGGGGGATTCATTAAATCTGGATTATTAATTCCGCTGTGGTAATTTTTTTTTTGAATAAATGCTTACCAGTCATCCATGCTGGCTAAGGTAGTTTGAATGTTGGCGAGGGCATGTTGTATGTCTGGGTTGAACAATGTGTATAGACATTCTAGAGTAAACCCATGTTTTATTGGTCCTTAGGGGTGAACAAATGTATTGTAGTGACAAACCGCAAAATTACAGTAAACTCAATATTTCAATCCAAAGTCTATAAGTGATATCAAATGATCTTAAACTGTGGCTAAAATTTTTTGATAATATTAAGAAATTTAATTGAATTAGGCAAGGAATTTTTTGAAGCGACGTAAGCATGCAGCCAACATCTTTATATTTACGATGGTGAGTAATTGCAACTTAAGCAAATTCTCTTGCAGAGTGAGAAGCCATGGAGGAAGTGCCCAATATGCTATGAAGCTGTCATGCCTGCTGACTTAAAGAGGTAAGCCTTGGCAACTTTTGTAAGAATCGTTTGATTAGGGTCAATTACTACCGGTTTTCGAGGGCACTTAACTACAGTGCTGTAAAAGTTCCAAGCATCAGAAATTATACATCTCCTTGGTCTTTTGCCGTTATTCGATTTTATTTAATTGTATTAGATTTATGGTTTAGCGACTTTGTAAGGTGAAAATATTTTTCCGATCAAATCTTGATAAGTATAATATGAATGCACTTATAGATACCGTATTTACTCTACTGAACGCCGCCCTCTGATAAACGCCGCCCCTTTTAAACGCCGCCCTCTTTTAAACGCCGCCCTCTTTTAAACGCTGCATCTTATAAAGCGGCGTTTATCAGAAAATACACCAAATAAGAAGTAACAAATAGTTTATATGCTTGCTATTCTAAAGCTGTGAAAGTTGTTGTCATAGAGACGTGGACTTCGACAGAGACAGGGATATTGACATTCCTTCACATTTCAATAAAAGATAACGTGAACAAATCTTTTGTGAACAAAAATTTTCTTACAACCTTAATTACGTGTTTTTTGGAAAAAGAAAGCATTGTTTTAAGTCTGCTTTTATCTTGTTCACCTTTTATCTGAAAGCACTTTTCTTGTTATTTTTCATATGACACAAACTTTTAATTTGGTATTAAACGCCAACCTCTGTTAAACGCCTCATCCAAAGATATGATTTTATAATAAACGCTACAGTCTTTAGAGGAAGTACGGTAATTATCTGCTTTATGCATAGGAAAAGATCTAATCCATTTTTATTCACAGCGTTGTAACGTCTTCCACCCGAAAGTTTTTCAATGGAGAAACAATAACGATGCAGCTCATGCAAAGAAAGAAGGTTCGTATCTTTCTGATGATTCCAATTTTTTTCTTGTCAATGACTTTCCTATTAATTTGTATTTTTTCTTACCTCGCACCGGGTTTATAACCCAGTTTGCATTCCTTTATTTCGGTGCGGGGGATTCCACAATACAGTAAGCTTTGCGCGTTTTACCCCCGGGTCAAGAGAAATGTCTGACTGAAACAGCAGCAAAGGGCTAGTTGCTACAATTCCAGAAAAATCTTGAAAAGCGATCTCTTAAGATTGGCCGAGATTGATTTTTTTAAACAGGCTGCTTGAAAGCGCCTTTCAGAAAGATCGTCTCCGCACACTATGTACAAGGACTGCAGACTGGGTTAAGACCTGGCATGCTGAAGCACAGGGGCATCTGGCAGATGTTTGCTCTACCCAACATAGAATAAGTAGATGTTATCTAGAGGCTGTAACGATCAATTCCAGAGGCTGTTTAAAGACCTGTCGTTGCTATAATTCCTCTAACTATGCTCGATGCCCTTCCACTTTTCTACTCAGTTCTCTCTATTTTCTCTCCTAGATCGTCACAATTTAATATTTATGCGTACCGAAGCATTGTATTGCCATTAAGTTGAGCAGTTTTCTTGCACACATCACCCAACCTGACATTAAACACATTTTTTCTTTCACCAGGGTTCCATGCTTCCTAAACCTTTTGCATCACGCAAAAATTCAGAATCACAAGTTGTTGAATGGAAAGGTATTTGATTTTCCCTGAAATGAAATAGATTAGCAGCTGATGAAGGATTCAAATATCAAAATATTTCACAGATTCAAGAATTTGAAAATCAGCGTTAGATAGTAGCAATTATTATTTGGTATTTGTATGAGTTAGGTTACGTCCTGGCCTCAGGGTGTAATTTCTTTACTTTTTATTTCTCATTTCCTCTCCCCATCGTCAAACTCTCCGATCTTTTAAACTGCTTAGCCTTCATCTCTTTCCTTTCACCTTATTTATTCTCCCCTTCCCCCTTACCTTTGTTTCCCTTTAGTTTAGGCTATTTCCCTGCCCCTCCTTTGCCACCCCCTTCCCCCTTACCTTTATTTCCCTTTACTCTCGGCTATTTCCCTGCCCCTCCGTTGCCACCCCCTTTCTCCTTACCTTTATTTCCCTTTACTCTCGGCTATTTCCCTGCCCCTCCCTTGCCAACCCCTTTCCCCAATCTACTTCTTTTCATCCTCCACTCACTTCCCATCCTTTCATTCCAATCCTTGAATATTGCTTTATTTTCAAGCTCATGTATGCAGTATCTCTTATAAGCTAAACGTGATGTATTTTATTTTGTAGGGGACATGAGGTCGGTGATTCAAAGTGTCCATGCAAAGCTTCTGAAGGCCTCCCCAAAGATTGTGTATGAAAAGATTGTCGCTCCTGAATTGAAGGAACTTGAACAGCAACTTAAAGACGCCAAATCTGAAATGGTAAATGAATAACCCTTCAATTATACGCTAGGGATTTACGAATCGGCTTGGATTCTTTGAATTGGCTTGTATTTTATGATTGGCTTGGATTTTATGAATCGACTCGGATTGTTTGAATCTGCCAGGAATTTTATGAATCTGCTTAGATTTTATAAATCGTCTTAGATATTATGAATCGGCTGAGATGTTATGAAGCGGCTTGGATTTTATAAGTTGACTTGGGTTTTATCTATTGACTTGGATTTAATGAATCGACTTGGATTTTATGAATTGGCTTGGATTCTGTCCCGTGTATCAGTTTTGCACCACTAGAATGCTATTGTTATCTTGTTATTTTCTAGTCTGGTGAAGAATGCTTCATAGAAAGTGCCATATGCCTTTTGCAGGTATCTGATTTAGTTGATATACTAGCAGAATATTACGAAAAATTAATTATCCTGTAGTGTTCAAATGTTCTACCTATAAATATGAAATTTGACAATGAATTTTCTTTTGATCATTATATTCCTCAAGAATCCACCATCTTTGTCAAGGCAAAAAGTTTAGCTAATTGATGCTTAAGCAACAGTGAACTGAAAGAACCACCGAATTTTCTGGGGAACATATCATTTAAATAAAGATTTTGTTTGTAAATCAGTGAAGGAGGGGGGTTGGGGATACCCTTCAAACTCTGGCTGCAAATTGTGGCATTGGGAAAATATATAGCTTCTTCTCCTTATATTTATTATATTTTGAAGCAGTTTTTTATCAGGCAATCCACTGACTGCATGCATTGTTTAGCTAAATTCACACTGGACGCGTCACGGCGCGGCGCGTCACTGAGCGTCATCGAGCGTCGCGTCATGTACTTCTTCATGCTATTCACACACGATGCGTCATCGAGCGGCGTGTTTTCTGTTTTCCCATGCTGTTAACAGCAAACTTGCAAAATTCTTGACAAGTTGTACTGTATTCCTTGCATTGCAAAGTCAAGCTGGACATTTAAGTTTGCTACAGAAACGGATGAAACGGTATATCAAAAACAGCATCTTGGCCAAAAAATGAGGTATTCTAAGTCTCGTGCGGTTTCTTTAACATTTCGGTTCGAGAGGTTGGCCAATGTTTTGACAGGAAGACGATTCTCTTCAAGCATTCATTATAGAACCGAAATTTTTATTGATATTAAAGATTTGGAAGGTCTACTACAATTAGCAAAATGTTTGGCTTTACAGATTCATGGGGTTTCCCTTCCTGCCAAAATTCGAGGGAAAATTAAACAGCTTATTTTTATCAACACTCCCCAAAATTTCCATGAATTAAATTCCTCGGAAGTACACCTTTGGGAGGTATTGAAAGTTAAACGGAGAGTGATTGAAATATTTTTTTACCAAAACGGAACATACAATGACTCAACATCATTGTTGAATTGAACATCAACGAGGCAACTTTATAGACAAAGACACTAAACACGAATAATACTGTTACTTATCACAAACTAATAAATGTGATTTGTTTTTGTTACTTTCAGATTTTAGCCCCCCGATGCTTTAATCAGAGAGACTCATCAAAATATACTTCACCGTACAAGCAATACAGTTTTATAATGGCCTATTTCAGAAGCTCCTTGTTTACGTTTCTGGCTGTCATGTCGTCTGGCTCCTTGTTTATTCTCTAGGTTTTCTATTGTTCTGAAGCGTCACCGAGCGTCAAAGTTAAATTTATTTAACTTTGACGCTCGGTGACGCGTGGCTGAAAAAACGCGCTGCGTGCGCATAGCTGCCGAAAATGCTAACCATATTTGGTCAGCGTCATGACGCGCCGCGCCGTGACGCGTCCAGTGT